ACTCCCCCTTACACACACACACACACACACACACACAACAGAGAGAGAGAGAGAGAGAGAGAGAGAGAGAGAGAGAGAGAGAGAACATATACACAGAGCAATCAAGATACACAGAAAGAATTCAGTACTTTTAACATATTATTGTTTGACCTTGACCAGCTTACCGGGATCTGAATTCTTCTGCAACACTTTAAATCAATCCAGGTGGATTTGCTTCAGAGCAATGAGCCCAGTGTGTCTCAGTAGTGGAGAGTGCTTCACACACCCAGAGTATTTTGTGGAAACGTTTCCACTACGAAGATTAGAAAGATCTTTCCTCCCTCTGTGAACCCAGCTTGCAAGAATACAGAAGAGACTTTATTCTGAGGAACTAAGACATTCTCTTGTTAGCAAATGGCTCAAAAGGGCAGGGCAGGGAGGTGAAACACATCACAAGCAGGCCAAAAGAATCCCCTGAACCTGACCCGGCATGTGATGCTTTCAGATGCGCTCTCAGTGCCTTAACTTGGAGGGAAGGAGTGGAGGGAAAGCCGATGCTTTGCAGGCTTAGTTTCTGCCCATGACACTGAACTCAGAGAGCTGAGACCTTTGGAGAAGCCAAGAGTGGTTTAAGTGACTTGCCAGAATAAATTAACTGCTTTCTCTAAACTGAATTTCCTAATTTCGAAGCACAGGCAGCAGCCACTGAAAACCCACCCCACAGAGAGAAGCCAGCAGAGAAACTCTGCCTGAGGGATCTTCCTGCCTTGGGGAGAGTTCACGAGCACACAGTGATTTCTTATCACTGAACCAGTTTCAGAGAGGCTGGTTTATCAACATGTTGGGCTCAGAATACTTGTCCTAGTATATCTAGAGAAGAGACAGAGCAGGTGCAGCAGGCACCTAGGCAGGGGAAGACTTCCTTATTATTCACAGAGCCACTCCTAAAATGCCTGGAATATCTCACTTTTTCAGGAATAAGGTATCTTCTCCATGCATAGCAAAATGAGAGAGAGAGAGAGAGAGAGAGAGAGAGAACAGCCGGGCAGAGGTGCATTTAGCTTGGCATTAGGAAATCTAAGGCCAGACCAAGAAGTTGTTAGGAGCTAGCTACACTAGGATTGGGGCATTGGAACTGAGGCTGTTAAGCCAGAACTGAGACTGAACTGGTTGGCAGCTGTCAACAGCTTAGGGCAGTTAGCCTGACTGCCCTTCAGAATCAGCCAGTGCCTGCCAAACAGACACAACATGTCTCCCTAATATTTTCTCTCCAAGTAACAGCAATACTCTTACCCAATACAATACATTTCCCAGAGCCTCTCTTCCAAAAGAAGCTGTTAAATTACCCCATTGTTTCACTTCGCAAACATCCTCTGCCTGATGCTAAATGAAACTACATTCTAAAAGCAACCACATTGCCTAGTACCAGTGACTTCTCTTTTCTCTTTAAGATGTTGCACTGACTGGGGGGCCACTGATAGTGACACTGGGATTTGTCTCTACTGTATGTACTGACTTCTTGGGATCCTATTCCTATGGATGTAAACCTTGCTCAACCAAGATGTAGTAGGGAGGGCCTGGGACTTTACACAAGGCAGGGTGCATGGCCCTCTCTTAGGATTGGAGGGGGTGGGAGGAGGGCCTGTGGAGGGAGTGGGAATTAGGAAAAAAAGTTTAAATAAATACAAATATATTCCCTTTAGTTAAATCACAGACCCACCCATCTCCAACCCTAGCCCAAGAGCACATTACTTGCCACAGTTTAAGAGTGTGGAGAGTGCCAAGTGATGGTGGCTCACACCTTTAATCCCAGCACTGGGGAGGCAGAGGCAGGTGGATCTTGTGAGTTCGAGGCCAGCCTGGTCTACAGAGTGAGTTCCAGAACAAGCTCCAAAAAACACCTTTATGGGGCTGGAAAAATGAGTTCTTCAAGTGGGAAACTCAAATAAGACACAGAGGAAAGAATCTGTAGAAAGAGGGTTTAGAGTTACTGTACTAATGCTTTAGTTTAGGGAGAGTCCATTTCTCCCACAAGCAGACCTTGCCTCCCAACCCTCACACCGTGTCTTGTCGACAGCACTGCAGTTGTTAGGTTTGTGCCTGAGATGTGGAGGGCGAAGACAAGCATGCGCTGTGACTTCTGACATAGGAACACTCAGCAGAAGGCAAAATTGGACCTCGTCTGAGCACAGCTTTGTCTAATGTGCATCGTGTGAGTTCAGTGCCCACTGAGGCCAAAAGAAGGCATCAGATCCTCGGAACTAGTTACAGGTGGTTCAGAGCCACCATGGAAATGCTGGAAATGGAACCCAAGTCCTCCTGAAAGGGCGGTAAATGCTCTTAAGTTCCGAGCCATCTCTCCAGCCCCCATAACAGATCTGCAATAACACCGACCATCACATTTCTTCAGGGGAAATGGTTAGGAGGCTGACTCAGCCCTGGCACAGTAAGCTCACTCTCCGGTCTCTGGTCTCCGTAGTAAACTCACAGGCAAGGCCCAGGTCATGCAGGAAGGGCTCCCGGAGGGAGATGTTCCAGCTCTTGACAATTATAGACTCAGTGCTTACTCTCGCCCATTTAACTTCATAGCTGCTCTGTAAATGATGCTCTAGTATTACTCTCGTATTACAGAGTCAATAAACAAGAAGGCAGATCTTGGGGTAACTCAGACGGTGTCAAATAGCTAGCAAATGGCAGAGCTGGACTTCAAAAACAGACTGTTATTCAAAAGCCTGTGGGCTCCATGTGCACCTCCATGAAAAGCTATGAAGACAGTATCCATGCCATTAACATACATGTGAATCTACATGTGTATGCATGTATAAGTATATATTTTATACATAAATATGTATAATATATGTATAAATATACAAGCTGGAAAAAAAAACTCTTGCAGACTAGGCTGACAAGAGTCCCACTAAAACTGCCAATGACTAGGCACTGCCTGTGGGATTCTTACTTCCTGTTGTCTTGTTTGAACATTTTATCTCGGAGGCATGCTCATTTAAAAAGCACCTTTTATTGAAAAGAGAAATCTTAATGTTTTTGTAACTATAACAGTCTCAAATTTATTGAGTCATTAAAAAAAAATCCATGCTACAAAGGTCTGAGATAGCAGATGGCAAGGAGATGGGATGGCAGGGAGCTAGGGTGGCGGGGAGACGGGGTGGCGGGGAGACGGGGTGGCGGGGAGACAGGGTAGCGGGGACCTGGGATGGCAAGGACCTGGGGTGGCAAGGACCTGGGGTGGCAAGGAGATGGGGTGGCGAGGAGACGGGGTGGCGGGGAGACGGGGAAGTGGCTTCCTTCAGTGCAGGATGGCTGGTTCAGATACCTTTAAGTCCCTAAAGCAATAAAAGTGAAACCAACCTGCCTTCTTCCCCTATTTTCATTTTCAAACTAAAAGCCCCTACTCCTTCCAGGACTGGTGCCTCAAACAGTAAAAGAACAGATGACCTCACTTCTTTCCACCAGCAGACCTAGCATTTTATGTATACAAACCGGAGAGTAAATCCACCATCTTCAACTGTCCTGGCAAAGGTCGCTGCTGTAAGAATCTTCAAGCACTCTTTGCAAGGGAGAGAAGCTGACTGTGATGTTGAGAGCGTATGCTGTGAGTGATCTGGTGTTCTTACAGAGAACCTACTTTCAGACTGGAGCCATCCTGAATGCTATCTAGGTATCTGGCGATGGGTGGCCAGAAGACCAGGGACCCTCCTGTAGAAGAAATCAACCAAAGGGAAGAAGGAGTCCGTTTAAGCTTGACCCTGTCTAGAAGACCTGGCATTGAAGGGTCACTCAGAGTGAGCCATGCCTCTTCGGATTCAAATAAAGACATTCAGAGGGCTGGAGAGATGGCTCAGTGGTTAAGAGCATTGCCTGTTCTTCCAAAGGTCCTGAGTTCAAATCCCAGCAACCACATGGTGGCTCACAACTATCTGTAATGAGGTCTGGTGCCCTCTTCTGGCCTGCAGACAGAATATTGTATACAAAATAAATAAATAAATAAATAAATATTTTTAAAAAAAGACATTCAGAAAAGGGGAGTTCAAACACAAGCCAGCTAAGATGCCATAGGTCCTTCCTTGATCTCTGTATCCTTCATGTATCCTGAACTAAGGAGACTTCAACAACTTGAGGACTGCGACAGACCTTTGAGCCTCCTGGGGGTGACCTGGGACAGTAGGATTACACTATAACATGTTTGGGGTGTTCTGGGAGCAGTGGGGTCAGCACTAAGACATAAGAGCAGCTCTGTTACACAGAGACTAACAGTCTTGGCAGGAAGATACCCAAGAGGCCACCAGAGAGAAAGCAGAGGAGAGTCTGGATGCGAGGGAAACTAGCAGTGCGTGGTGGCACACAGGAGGTCTCTCTATTTCACTCAGGCTCCACCTGGGACTCCTAAGAAACAACTGCACAAAATCTGGAGGTGAACAAACCATTTGGGAACATCAGGTCCTGATGAGATCCAGGACACACAAGCACTGTGCGACAGGCATTATTACTGTCTGTATAAGCCAGGTTGGGGCAGGGGGGCTTTGTATGATCTGAAGAAACTCAGGTCAGAACATCTTAGGTTCTTACAAACATAAAGAAGTAGGACACTAAATGCTAGCCTCTTTCCTAGTAACTCGAGTGTGTGTGCTTAATCACATCAGCTCTTACTTCTTGTTCTCCTTATAAAACAGTGTGTTTGGTGTTTCTTTTTCTCAATTCATGCTAGAGTGCTGAGTCACTTTTTTTAGAAGAAAGTAAAGAATGATCAGGCTAAGAAGGGCTAGCCTCAAGGATGACTTAAGCACACGCAACCTCCCCCCCCCCGCCCCCAAGTTGTGATTCTTTCGATGCTTACGACGTCATTGTGCAATCTTAATAAGGTTTCCAATCAGCCCCACCCACTCTGGCCCCGCCCCCACCCTCCAACAAAGATTTTTATCAAATGTGGGATTTTCCCATGAGTCTCAAAATTAGAGAGTCGACTCCCAATAAATATGAGACTGAGGATGTCTGTAGCTCATTCTGCTCTCGAGCCCACCAGGAACGAAAGACAACTCTATCTGCCCTCCAGGAACAGCTATGAAGTTCCTCTCCGCAAGTAAGTGAAGGCAACTCCTCGCCCTCTGGTGGAGCTATTGAGCGGTGTGAGAGAGAAGCGTGTGGCTGAGAGCGAGGGTTGCGGGCTGGCCAGCAGCCAGGAGCAGCCTCCCAGCTGTGCTATCTGCTCACTGCTGCTTTCCCTTCCCTCCACACAGGAGACTTCCATCCACTTGCCGTCCTGGGGCTGATGCTGGCGACCGCCACTGCCTTTCCTACCTCACAAGTCCGGAGAGACTACACAGAGGACACCACCCCCAACAAACCAGTACACACCACCTCGCAACAACTCGGAGGCCTGATTAGTTACATCCTCAGGGAAGTCTTCGAAATGAGAAAAGAGGTGGGTAGGCTATGTGAAAGTGATAAAGGCCCAGTGTGGGCGTTCATTCATTCTCTTTGCTCCTGAGTTGGGAATTCTCTACCGGGTTCTAGGGCACTTAGAATTTGAGGTTAAAGATCAGACTACACTGTGTTCACTATCTCTTCTCTTTGCTGCTCTCAGGGGCCCTTCCCTGTCTGGGAAATACAGAATGTAGCTGTATTTCTAAATTTCACAGTGGGCCATTCTCAGCTGCATTTAGCAATTGTTTCTTGGGTGGGGATTCCTTTTTCCTTACCAAAGAGTAAGGTCTCTTTGCCTTGAACTCTGGGAGGACTCTTGGGAATGGATGAATCTTTACCTTGTGCAGTCGCAGTGCTTTTTGGTTGAATGTAAAATGAGCGATGAGGACTCTCCAGGGCCGACCCGCTAAGATGCAAATATAGAGCCCAACAAAGAGCTAAGTAACAACTAGATTAGACTAAGCACAGCCGTGCAGGCCTCTAATTCCAGCTTTTGAGAGACAGAGGCAGGAAGATCTCTGACTTAGAGATCAGCCTGATCTACATATCAAGTTCTAGGACAGCCAGGACTAGAATGAGAAACCTTGTCTCAAAAAAAAAAAACAAAAACAAAAACAAAAACAAAAACAAACAACATCTACCTAGATTAAAATATCTTCCATTTTTAAATGCAAAGTATTTTGACTCTGCTTGACAGAAAGAAAAAAATCACAAGAGAGAAGAGCCCAGACTCTAGGTTTGGGTGTGTAGAACTAACTTCGTAATCTTGAGGACATTCCCTACTATTTAGGACTCTTATCTGCAAAATTATGGAGTTACAGATGATAGCACAGGCCCTTCCAGATGGAATATTCTGTGGCTGAAATCTATTTGTCCCAATTATCATAAAAATGTCTGTCATTTACTAAGTTCCTACTATGTGTCAGGCAGTTTATATCACTGAATTCTCTAAATAAATGGACAGGGGGGACTTTAACAATCCTTTACTTAAAGACAGAGTAACAAACCTGAAGTTAGAGGACTGAGCCTAGGGGATTTCTTTCTATTGGGCTGCTTGGTCGGGCACCGAGAGGGGGTAGCTTCCTTTTTCTTAGCGTGTCTCCTGGCCGTGGGAGAGCATGGTCTGGCCCTCTAGTGGTGCTAGCTAAGCGAGCGCTTTGTACTCTTTTGCAGTTATGTGATAACAGTCCTGATTGTATGGCCAATGACGATGCTTTGTCAGAAAACAATCTGGAGCTTCCAGCCATCCAAAGAAATGACGGATGCTTACAAACCGGATACAATCGGGTAAGAGTTTGCCACATTTACTTTCAGCCCAAGTTCTCTTGCATGTGCTGCCTGCATACACACAGCTCCAGTCAGGCAACAGAGATGGGGGAGCAGATAGAAAGAATATTATGTAAATATTATGAGGGAAGTAACTTAAACCTTTGATTGAAAAGCAGTTTGCCATTGAGTAGGTAAAGTCCCCTTTGTTGGATTCTTCACGTCTGTTAAATGTTAGAAATCATAGCAAGTTTAGCTAGCTCATCTCAAGTAAAGTGGTCCAGGGATCATTCTCTGGCTGCCCCTAGAATGATCCAAGCCCATTCTCCCTAACTGAGAGCCCTCTCCACACCTCTCCCCCTCTAGCCAGTGAGATAACCTGCTTGGATTTCTCATTATTCCTTAAAAGCAGGTCTCGGGCCAGCACAGACGTGAGCAAGAGTACAGGAAGAGTAGTGGGGGCAGAGGCAGGGGGGCCAGAAGGGGATCCCCACTGCCATACTATTGATCCTGGGGAAAATATTAAGCGGTGCCTCTAGTTGCCCAGCTAGTTAAGGGAGGTCAGCTGATGCTGCCTGGTACCTGATTCTCTAGAGGGGCAAAGGGAAAAGATGCTGAGCAGCAGGAATCTTATTCTCGGACCGAGTCTGTCTCCTAGAGAGAACTAATTTTCCCTCCCACTCTACTCATAGGAACTTTGCCTATTGAAAATCACCTCTGGCCTTCTGGACTACCAGATCTACTTGGAGTTCGTGACGAACAATGTACAAGATGACAAGAAAGACAAAGCCAGAGTCATTCAGAGTGCTACCAAAACCCTAAACCAGATCCTCAAACAAGAGGTGAGTGCTTCCCATTCTCTCATGCAGTGTGGGGAAGGGACGGGGGAATGCACCCTGCCTCATCTCAAGGCTGCAGCAGCTTCCACAGACAGCCTCGGAAGGCGGAGGGTCTGAGCAACCATTCCTATTGTAGAACCTTGTTCTGATTCACTTTGGGTTTTTTGGGGGGAGGGGTCTCTTTTGCAAAGAAAATAACTACTTTAAATGATAATAAACAGATTTTACCTAGCTGCTTAAGAGATAAGAAAAATATAACAGACAAAAGGAAGCATACCCAGCCCTACGCAGACAGCCATTATAAAAAAAAAAAAACACAGGGCACAAAAACGAGTCTATTATCAATCCCTGTGAGTGACAGCCTTGCTACCAGAGACCTAACGCAGAGAAGTAGCCAAAGGCTGAAAAGGCAGGGAAGGAGATGATTAAGGGCTTCTGGCTGCCACTAGCTATTAAATGGTAGATTTAATAGAGGACTGATGGCTCAGAGTGTGGATGAGCCAAGTCAGATGCAAGAAGGGCCGGGATGCAGCCCTGATGCTAAGGCTGCTTCTGCCGCTTGTAGTTGCCTTAAACCCGAGCTTTTCCTCGTTGGCTGTGCACAGGAGTCATGTGGAGTCTTGTTCCAGCAGAGCCTGACTTAGAAGGTCCGCGGGGGGGGGGGGGGGGGCGGGGATTCCCTCTGTAGACAGTTGCCTGCTCTTGCAATTCCGCTATACTTCAGGCTCACAAGTGGTGGGACAAGTCTACCCGTCAGTCATCCCCACGCCAGTGGGTCCATGGAGAGGGGTTTCCAGCCTCCTTCGTGCTACCACACCAAGAGACTCACAACAGAATCTAAATGGGAAGTGAGAGGGAAGCACTTGCTTTAGAACCCACTGAACCACCTGTACCCATGGGCTCCTCTTCATTCAGTAGCAATACTGTATATGGCAGCACTGTTTTGGATAACAGACAAATAAGGTGGTGGTGCTGGCCTCTGGGTGCTTACTCTCTAAAGGCAGACAGAACAGTAAAAGGGAAGTTAGGATTCTGTTGCCATTGAAAAGCTAATAATTACTTTGAGGAAAAAAAGAGAATGGAATTGCTATGCATAGGTCCCTCTCAGGGGAATCTGGAACAAAAGCACCTCCCCTAGCTTGGGTGAGTCAGGGCAGATGGACCCAATTAGTCTCATTCAGTCTAAATCTGAACATCTCCCCACAGCCCAGAGCACCCCACAACAAAAGACGTGTGCAATATTTAACCAGTCTTTCTCCTCTCCTCCTCCAACTAGGAAAAGGATCTAAGTAGAATAGTCACACCTAGCCCAACTGCCAAGGCCCTCCTACTGGAGAAGCTGGAGTCGCAGAAGGAGTGGCCAAGGACCAAGACCATCCAGCTTATCCTGAAAGCACTTGAAGAATTCCTAAAGGACACCATGAGGGCTACTCGGCAAAACTAGTGTGCTGCGCCTAAGCACGCTATCTGTGGACAGCCCTCACTGTGATCGGCAAGCATACCTGTCGCCGGGTATCTACCTTATGTTGTTCTCTACGAAGAACTGACAGTATGAATGTTGGGACACTATTTTAATATTTTTTTAATTTATTGATAATTTAAATATGTAAACTGTAAGTTAATTTATAATTAATATTTATAATTTTTATGAATGTCACTTGAAATATTATATGTAATAGTTTTGAAATTATAATATAAAATCTATTTGATCTGAATATTCTGTTACATAGCCAGATTATTTTTTGGAATACATAAGTTTACCTCAATAAATTGCTAATTTATACATTTTTTAAAGAAATCTTTGTGTTGTGTTTTTATGACGTTTAGACTGTCTTCAAACAAAGAAATCACATTATATCTTTAAAAATCAGGGCTTGAAGAATACAACTCAGCTGGTAAAGGACTTGCCCAGCATGAGCAAGTCCCTAAGCTGGATCTGAGCATCAAAAAAAAGAAAAAAAGAAAAAGAAAAAAATCAATAATAAACAATTATATGATTGTAAAATTAAATAAAAAGTGAAAATAGCTACAGGGACAATTGAGAGGAAAAATTCTTTATTAAAGGAATAAGATTGGCACACGGAATATGCCAAAAGTATCAAGTTTTAGGTGATATTACTCACTTTGCTGGGGAGTGTGAGTAATATCAGATGAATATTACTTGACCCGTCCAGACAGACTCCATGGACTTAGAGAATTACAGCACTTTGACTGGATCATGAAGTCGTCAATGCCTAAGCCACTTTGCTCCAGAAAGCTCACTCACCCTGCTGAGCCTTTGTCTGCATACCTTTTCCACTCCCAAGTGGGTGTTCTTGATTTCAATGTGACCCTCACTTATGATTTCTTGGTTTACAAATATCAATATAAGCACATTTCTTGTTACCATAAATACAAAACAAACAACAACAAAACCCTAACATCCCTGCTTCCCGCCAGGTAACACGGTAAAAGGCTGCATCCATCACATCGGTTAACTTCAGCACTTACTCTTTTCAGGAGCCTTCTGAAATTTAAAACATGATTCCCCAGTGGAAATTCAAGTCGACCTGCCTCCAGATCTATCCTTAGCTTTGTCATTGAAAGATAGACATGGAAAATCTCAAGACATTTTAATATAGAAAATAGATTTGAAGTTGAAATCACAGACTCTGAGACCATACAACTTAGACAAGGATAGCAATGTACACGCTCCTGAATAACCACTGGACGTTCTGCCTGCCTTGCCTGCCGTCTCTATGCACTGCACAGACCTCCTCCCAGGGTCTGCCATGATATATCACACACACACATTAAAACGGAATGTGTTTTCCTCCCAGCTAGCATGTGGGTTCCTCAAGAAAGCAGCCCACTTTTTTATGCAGGCGCCATGGCCAAGAGCCTGAGCAAAGGAGACCGCTGGAAGTATTGCTGAAAAAAGAGAGAATACTTAACTAGCACAATATAACACAAGTCAGTTCTCAGGGAATGTAGAGAATTTGGTTGACAAAACATTGATGTGCTATTGATGTAAGGGAAAATAGAAAAAAATTAAAGAAAAATCTGAAGACTTCTAAATAAGACAATGAATAGTCACGGTGGAACACATCTTCACTCCTGTGCCCACAAACACTACTCTTCACCCTTCCTCAGCAGAGTTGGTGGTCAGTCAGCTGTGGTGGCACCAACAATCTCAGCGCTCTACGTGCAGATACAAGAGGACTGTGGCTCTTAGGCAGACTAGGCTACATGGGTAGACCCTGTCTCAACTCCACCCCAACTCGTGCGTGTGTGTGTGTGTGTGTGTGTGTGTGTGTGTGTGTGTGTGGTGATCATGATAATCGTGATGAAGCAGTGTATATAACCTAATGAGTTCCTCCTTCCTGCTTCTGTGCAAAGCTGGGAATTCGGTACAGAATTCCCCTTTCTAATCCCAGCAGTATACAAGTTCTGTCTTCTAACAAAGGTATCCCTACCTTAACCTATGAAGGCTTCTTCCTCCAGGGCAGGTATTCTGCTGGGGAGGGGAAAGTCCACAGAGGCCAAGAATTCTGAGGAGTCAAACATGAAACAACCACATATTCTGACTGCTAGAGACTGTGTCACAGTGGGCTTCCCAAAGTTAGGGTCAAATTTAAGAACAAACAACAGCTAGCTAATACATCCATTCTTTAAACAACAACAAAAATGTTGAACATCACAAATATCAGGAATGTTCACAATAAAGAGATGAAAATAGCACGGACGCTGACTCTGTGAAAGGAAAATCAGACAATGAGCAAGCAATGTAAGTAATGAGATTTACAAAAGAGAAATGTGAAGACAGACAGTCTATCCTGGGATACTAACAACAAGATCCAACTAAATCTGAGAAGGGCAGTCATCTAGGCTGAGATACGAAAGATACGTGGAAGTTAACCAGACCAAGCTAGAAAGGGCTTTCCAGGAAAAGGAAATAGCATATACAAAGCTCTTCATTAATAATAGTAATCATAATAAATGCATATTATATAGCTTTCTTAATTCCTTTTTTAAAAAAATTTATGTATTTATTATATATACAGTGTTCAATATTATATATATTATATATACATGTATGCCTGTAAGCCAGAAGAGGGCACCAGATCTCACTATAGACAGTTGTGAGCCACCATGTGGATGCTGGGAATTGAACTCATGACCTCCAGAAGAGCAGCCAGTGCTCTTAACCTCTAAGTCATCTCTCCAGCTCAGCTTTCCTAATTCTTAAAGGTGATAAGCAGACAGCTGGGAGAGAAAAGTCATCAACAGTATCACTCAGAGGTGAAATTTAAATTCTACATTGCTAACCTGTCAGGCAAAATGTGCTCATTGGTGCACAGTAAAATGGAAGTTATGGGGAAACCAACTGCTTTCTGATTGGCTTTGCGGTCTTGGTCCACAGAAAGAAATTCATGCCTAGTACTGTAAACTTTGCTAAAAGCCTCATGGCTCAGGAAGTCATAGTTCTAAGGGAGGAACCTACTACTTCTGTTTTACCAAATGGTTATGTTAACTAATTGGCTTCTAGCTTTTACATCACACCCATAGATTAACATGGCTTTCAACCTTGGCTAAAGAAAACTCCTGCAATTAATGAAGATCCTGGCCAGGAGGTGGTGGCACACATCTTAATCCCAGCACTTGGGAGGCAGAGGCAGGCAGATCTCTGTGAGTTCGAGGCCAGCTTGGTCTACAGAGTGAGTTCCAAGACAGGCTCCAAAGCTACACAGAGAAAGAGAGGGGAAAAAGCTACAAAAAGGAGAGTGTAAGAGCTGTAGGTTGGGGAGAGTGCTGGCAATGTTGGGTGTGACCTGACGGTGACACCCATGAGCTTACTGCAGTTACAGTTATTCACACAGGACCTGTACGAGATCAAGCCAACAATAGCAGTCACTATTCCAGGAAGCTGCATTAAATGGATCAGTGAGTTACAAAAATACACCAGGACAGAACATGAAACTGGGAAGGGGACATGTTGTTGGGAAGGAAGCTGTTGGGCATAGATAGATATGATATGTACATGGAAGTTGAGAAGGGCTGAAAAAGACAGATGTTACGCGAACCGTCAAGAACATTAGAAGGCATACTCAGAAGTCAGCCTTTATCGCACATGCGGTGAGAAGAGGGATCTGAAGTAGTAAAATGGCATATGAGATTTACATTTTGGGGTGTTTACTCAAGTTGTAACTCGGAGAGTGGATTTAAAAGCTGCTGGAAGAGAATGCTGAGGAACTTTCCAAAGGCTTTTATTAAAGTCTGGGGAGCAAATGGCAGTGTTCTGGTTCAGGGTGGTGATAATAGCCAGCAAATATAAGATTGGCCAGTTCTGCTACATGGGATTTCAGAAGACAGCTGGCAACTCACAAGGAGAGAGGAAGTAGGGGTTGAATAGAGAAGTAAACCCATGGAGGACTTGGGATCTGAACGCATTCACTTAAACACTTCTCTGAGCAGCTCTGACATGTCAGCATCTCTCCTCAGGCCTGGGAATATGAGGATGATAAAACAAACATCTCTGCTCACAAAGAACTTAAGGCCAGAGAAAGAAACATAAAGAAATGAATACTGAACCATGTGCTAAACGTGCTACAGTTATGGACTGATTGAGTTGTGTGCTCCAAAAGATGCAGTAAAATCCTGATTCCCCAGGGAATGTGACTTTATTTGGAAATGGGCTGTTTACATATATAATCAAAATAAGATGAGGTGATTACAATGGGTCTTATAAGACCAGAGGAGCCAGGTAGTGGTGGTGCACATCTTTAATCCCTTCACTCAAGAGACAGAGGCAAGTGGATCTCTGTGAGTTTGAGGCCACGTGAGTTTGAGGCCAGCCTGCTCTACAGAGTGAGTTCCAGAGCTACAATGTCTTGGAAAACAAAACAAAACAAAACAAACAAACAAACAAAAAACGACAACAAAACCCAGAGGAGATAGAAACACACTAAGCCACTAAGCAGACATTCATATGGCCACAGCCCTAGAAAATTCTGGCAGTACACAGTAAGTCACCAAAGATCATAGATTATGGAGGAACAAAATGGCTAATATAACAGGAAGACAGAGAGCAATGTTATTAAAGGTTTTTGTTTGCTTGCTCATTCTTGTGCTTGGTTGACTGATTTATATTTTAAAAGTTGGTTTCGCCGGGTGGTGGTGGCACAAGCCTTTAATCCCAGCACTTGGGAGGCAAAGGCAGGTGGATCTTCAAGGCCAGTTTGGTCTACAGAGCAAGTTCCAGAATACACTTCAAAGCTACAGAAGAAAAAAAGTCGACCTTGCTATGTAACCCAGGATAGCCTAGTGCTTATTCTATAGCCCAGTTGCCTCAAACTCATAGTAATCCTCCTGCCTGGGCCTCTTGAATTTTGTAATTGTAGCTGTATACATAACAGCAGGCAGAGGTTATTGTTGTTGCTTTGTTGAAGAGGGGGTTGCTATTGTTGTCGGAACAGGTTGGAACATGTGCACCTGTGTGTGTCTCTGTATGCATGTGGGGAGGCAAGAAGTTGATGTCTCCTGTCAAGTCTTCCTCTTGCTCTTTTACACGGGGTCTCACCAAACATAAAGCTCATTGACTCAATAAGATTAATTAGCCACTTTCCCAGCACTAGGTTTATAAAAGCACACCGCCATACCACGCATTCTACACATGTCTTTGTTAAGGTTTTATTGCTGTGAAGAGACACCATGACCACAGCAATTAATATAAGGGAAAACAGTCAATTAG